CTGGGGAATTGCCGCAGGTGCTGGAGGCCTTCGAGCAGGCGGAGCGGGAGGCGAAGCCGCCGCCTCACCTGCTCTTCTCCAACCTTTACCTGGAGATGCCCCCGCGGCTGCGGCGGCAGCGGGAGGAGCTGGAGCAGCACCGGGAGACCTACGGGGAGCACGACCCGCTCCAGCAGTTCCAGAAGAGACCCCGGAATCCCCGGGAAAATCCTCCTGGAATCCCCGGGCGCTCCCAAATTTACACCGACCCCCCCACACACACCCCAAAATCCCCTGGGATCCCAGAAGAGCTTCTCCCAGAAGTGATCCCAAAGTTCCCCTTGAACCCCCCCAAAAATCCACCCTGACCCCCCAGAATCCCCCCCGACCCCCCCAAAATCCTCCCGGACCTCTCCAATCAACGGAATTTGGGAGAGGAAGAGCCTCGGAATTTTGGGGAGGGGTCCCTGGGATCCGCGGGATTTTGGAGAGAAATCTCTGGGAACTTTTCAGGGAGCGATCCAGAAAAAAAATTGAGGGTTCTGGGGAACACCCTAAAAAAATCGCAAATCAATGGGAAATGAATGGATTTTTTTTGAGAGGGGGATCCCAAAAAATCCACAAATCCATGGAAAAAAAAGATTTTATTTAGTGGGGGGGGGTGGTCCCAAAATCCCCAATTCCTTGGGAAATGAGGGATTTTATTTAGGGAGGTGTCCATGGGAATAAAAAAAAAAAAAAAATCCCAAATTCATAGAAAATCAAAGAATTTTTTTTTAAAAATATTATTAATTAATTTCTCAGCCTAGCAGTGCCAAGCAATCGAGCCCAGAGCGATAGATCTGCAGGCATTAGCAATCGATCGCCGAGCAATCGCTCATTGCACAGACCTTGCACTATCCTTGCCCACTCTCCTTGCAGCACTGTCAGGGCGCCGGCTCTCGGGGTGCCTGCAGTTCCTCTCTCTGCCCACAAGGCGGCGCTTTGTGCACAGTCAAGGGATGGCAAAAAGGAGTGTCCCAATCCTTCGAAAAATCCTCCTGAAGGAACGCCCCAAAAACCCCGACCAAAACTAAAAAACTCCTGCCTCTAACCAAATGAAAACTATAAGAAAACAACTTTAGATATAAAAAAATTCTATCTTTTAAAAATATTTAATTTATATTCAAATTCATAACCAATACGTATTTTATAGATTCAATTTAATTTCCATTATAATGTACCACATGTACAATATTATTACTCATTATATATATATATATCTTTATATTCCGAATATTTTTTATTTTATGTATAAATTTTTATATATTTCTATATTTTTAATCTTATTTAAAAACCCTACCTCTAACCAAATATAAACAAAAACTCCCTTTATTTTGAACTATATTTAAATATATTTTTCTACTTATAGTTTTCATATTGATATCTGTACTTTATATTCATATAGCTATACTATGTATATTGTATCTTAAAATATACTATAACAAAATATATACAATAATATTTATATTAAATACTATAGATATACCTAGCTTTCTATTTCATATCTATCTATACTTACATATATTGGGATATGCATATATATTTATAATTTGATGTCTGTATATATTTACTGCATTTTTGTCCATTTTTTTGTTCCGATTCTTTCCAAAAAACCCAGCCTCACATCAAATAAAAACCATTCACGCCTTTATTTGAGACGCCCGTTAAATAAAGAAAGTCAAGGAGAGCAGTTCCCGTTTCAGCGCCTTTATTCGGTAAACCAGCTCCGGGCCGGGGCCCGACGCGTCTCCGGCACCCCCGCTCCTCCTGCTGAGCGACCCCGATCACGGCAGACTCAGCTCCGCGGGGCAGCGCACCCGCGCCCCCCATTCTCACCCGAGGGCCTCCCCATACAGTACCCGCGCCCTGCTCCAGGGCTGTCATGGCCATCGGGCGCTGTTGGGATCACGGTGACAAGGGAGCAGAGTCCTGCTTGCTGATGGCATCTCCGGCACTGCTTTTCTTACTTGGCAGGGCCATTTTTAGTTCTCCGTGTTACACTGGCTCGTTGGTTTTAGGGGTTTTTGTCACTGAGTTGTGTCCCATGAGCACCTGCGGTTTTCTGATTTGCCTGGCACCATTCAGGGCAAGGCAGTTCCAGGGAGTGGGAGTCAGACCAGAACAACGGCAACAATTAACATCAAAACGGGGAGCTTTCCACAGCTAACAGAACATTAACAGAACAAAGAGGAGCTTGTTTGTAACACATACTATTTTCATATTTCTATTTTCATATTTATCATTCATATTTATACATATTCTTTTATTTGCATTATTTATATTACAGAATCTGTATTTCATATAGATTAATCTGGAAATGTTTTATATTGATACAAATGTATCTATATTTTTATTTTTCTATTCTTTATATGTTTACCCTGAACATAGAATTATTTTCTCCTACTAATGCAGGAAACCTAGCAGAAAAAACCAACCACCACTTAGAAACCTGGCAGCAGTTTGAATGCCAAAGGCCTCCTTAAAACTCGACTCAGTGACACCTGATAGGATGAATTAGGTTTCCCAGAGAAAAAGATTTCATGCCAAGGGTTCCCAGTATTCCCAGTATATATCACTCTCTATCCTGGCCTGCATTCCCCGGAGTTCCTTCTCAGTATTCCCAGTGTTCCCAGTATTCCCAGTGAACCCCCGCTTCTCCCCGGCCAGTCTCGTCCCTTGTACCCCCGGTGCCCCTCCCGGTACCCCCCGGTACCTCCCGGTGTTCCCCGTGCCCGGTTCCCCCCGGAGCCGCTGCGGAGCCTCTGCCGGGACTGGGGGGGGGGGGATATCGGGGACCCAGGTGGCACCGGGCCGGTTCTGGGGGACCCGCGTGTCCCCTGAAGGGTTTTGGGAACCCCGAAATGTGAAATGTCCCCAGGGCGATTTTGGGACCCCGAGGTGACCCCAAAAATTTTGGGGGGGCCCGAGGTGACCCCAGGGGGCTTTTTGGGGACAGGGGTGGCCCCGCAGTTTTTTGGGGGACCGGGATATCCCCAGGGCGATTTTGGGACCCCGGGCCGGGGCGGCTGTCGCGACATGTCGCCATGGTGGCCATGGATGTCGCGATAGTCGCCAGGCACACAAATGCCTCTTTGCGATCTGAGCTTTCTTTTGTGTCACGTCTGAAGTTCTGAGTTCCTTAGGACTCTGCCCCAGTCCTTCCCTCTCCTCTCTTAGTGCTGCTCTAAAAGGATGAAAAATTATATTATTTATCCTCAAAAAGAATTGTGCTCCTCATAGAAGGCAAATGCTTTTATTCCAGGTATGCTGGGGGAGGGGGGGAAAACCCATAAAGGATATGGTCTTCCATTACTGAGTGTAATTTAGACTAAGAATTGAAAATATAACAGCATGTGAAAAGACAGTACTAATACTGTGAGAAAAACCAGAATCATCTTGCAGTCATAAAAATTAGAGCAACAGCCTCTGTTATTGTTGCTCATCATTCTTTCTGGGTGTGGGACAACTGGCTTCATACTTTTTCTTCAGGGCTTTCAAATATATACGCAAACTGCCAGGGTCCAGTCGAGAATTTCTGGCAGTCTGAACCAATCTCATTGCTAACTGGTATGCAGCTCTCTGCTTCATCATCTCAGGTGTGCTTTCCTGCCTGTGCTGTTCTTAAAAACAGACATGCATTAAAATATGAAATAAATTACGTTCTATTATAAAAATACTAGTATTAGCTATTTTTCAGCCTGTTTTTGATCTCAGAATTCTTGGTTTGCATACAAACATTATATCCAATATCCCTTTACCCTAAGGGTCATTTTGTGTTGTCAACTAACAGCGACCTTCAGCATAACCTTCCAGAACTGGTTTCAGAAATACAAAGTTTAATGAAATCTGTTTTCATTAAAGCAGAGGCAGTGCTTATCCTATATCCTTTCAGAAACTGAAAATACATTTGAGTTGCATAAAAACTCTGAAATACAGTATTACAATTTTCTACTACATACCAAAATTTGTTTTGTAATGTGGTTTGTGATTTCCTTTGCATCCAAAATTATGGATGATGGTAGGGAGGACACTTCTGCAGCTTTTAGTCCTGAAGATATAAAACACAAATCAAGATTTTTTAATGTAATTTTTATCCCTACCTTCCATTTTATGTCTTCCAGTATTAACTTAGTCTGTTTTTCTAAGGGGTAAAGATTTAATTTTTATTAAAATAATTTTGGTATATTTTCTCTTTGTGTGGTTTTTTGTTTGGTTGGTTTTTTTTGTTGTTGTTGTTTTGGTTGGTTGGTTGTTTTGGATTTTTTTGTTAATAACAGTAAGGTTCGGAGAGTTACAAAATAAAATGTCTACTTTGTTTTAATGCCATCTCCGAAATACACCTCGACATCAAGATACTGCCAGAAATACTGTAAATAGGGAGAAGGAGACTTATTAGGGGGCTAAAAGAAAAAAATTGGCACCATGGTGTCAGCAGCTTTCTCAGCTCAGGTTTTTAATTTGGCAGAAAATACAGAGGTTTTGCTAACTGCACTCTCGATTCTATCCAGACGTCCAGTGCACGTGGATGTCGTTTTTCAGCTTCTTTGCTGCCAAAAGCCAAACTTCCAGATACTCGGGGTAAGAAAGAGATGTAAATTTTTTTCCTGCCCTAACAAGATTTTTTAACTTTTTCCTTTGACTCTACCCCTGGAAAGTCTGTGGCTCATTGAGTAGTTTAATACTGCAGGTTTAAAAATGAAGAAGTCTCATGAAGAGCCCCTGCATCCTTTCTTAGAATGTGACTTTTCTCAAGTAAGGTGAAGCCAAGACACAAAGACTGAGTTTCTAAAGGTCTCCTGTTCTCAGAGATGACTCTCTAGACACACAGTTCTTTGGACTTAGTGCTGGTGTAGCATCTAAAATTGAGCTTGTGCTGCCAAAGTTGAATGAACTTACTGAAATTCTGACCAGGAAAAGCTTTAAGTCCTGTTACTTGAAGCTTAACTGGAATAATTTCTAGTCTTTGGTTACCAATAGCTTGCAAAAGTCGTGCAACTAACTTCCTCAAGATTAAATGTTACCTAAATCAAGGAATCAACATCCAAATCCAGTATTTGGAAGCATACAGATTTCTTTAAATCTTTGTCATTCACTCTTTTCTTTCTTGACCCAAAATTAATCAATCTGTACAATCTAGACTATAATTTATTATAAAGTTAAAAGAGAAATAAATCCACTTTACAGAGAACACTGATTCTTTTGCAGACCCGCTCAAAATTGTCTTAGCCTAATATACTGTAAAATTCCTCTCCTTTTTTAAAGAAACTTGATGCCTTTTTGCTAATCAAAAAGGGCCAACCTGATGGTAACCAGTCATAGCACTGCTTATGGCAGACACATCTGGAAGTCTCTCCAGAACATACATTCACTTCTGTAAGTGCACTTCTGTAAATCCAGTAGCATGTGCTCAGAATGACTCAACTCATTCAGACACCAATCAAGGACATACCAATATCAGGAGGATTTTTTTTTCACTACAAAATACTGTGTAAGTTCTTCATACTACCCGAAACTCCTCTCTCTCTACATAGTTACTTAAAACACACACTCATTTGGAACAAATTCTACATCTGCAGATCTCTGTAACTCTCTCTTTGAGTGAGGCACAAACTCAAGAGCAATCTGTCATTAAAAAATACTGTTAGATGCCTAATGACAGAAATAATATCTTGTGTAACTTTTGCCAACTGTAAGTCACAGTGGAATCCATTACCATAGTTCTTTTCCTCTGTGTATCCTTTAGAAAGTGTGTAAGTGTAAGCAATTTTCTCCTTATTTCCAGCACTGCTTCTCACATGTTGCACTTCAAAATGGTAGTTTTCCACATTGGGATATAAAGCATCTATATGACATAGTTCCAGGAAATGTGTAGCAAACAGTGTAAATGCCTAAATAAGGAAACAAGAAAGCAAATTTATTTTGGCAATGATCCATAAATAAATAATAATAAATAAGAAAAATTAAATAATCTCACAGATGTCTAGGTTTTCCTCCAAAACACTGAAAAGCTGTCTTTACATTACTAAAGCAAATGAAAATTCTTACGGGATGCATTCTACCGTTGGCAAGTACACCTCTTCCAACTGGGGATTCTCCTGCTCATTTCTCAATGGAAGGAAAACAATATCAGAAACAAAAGAAAATCCATGATGCTCTGATGAAAACCTGACCAGTATCAGGAACAACTGTCAAATGGTTGCTTAATTCTCTCAAGGAATTCTTTATCAAAAGTACAAGTGACAGAAAGTATCTGAGCTTTTCAAACAAAAAAAACCCACATAAGTACTCTGAATAAACTGAGGAGAAACAAACACCTGCACACTCAAAAGGTTTGTAACAGCCATCTGAGCTTGATCAGATGGCTTAACTAGTAATAGAGGTGAATTTTAGCAATCCATCTAAAATGATCTTCCGCTTTTCTAAACAAGTTTCTAACCTCTGTGACCAATTCCTAAGTTGTGTGGAACATCTTCCTGCCAGTAGGAAGCAGTGAATGAAGTCCTTATTTTGCTTTTGCATATGGCTTTCCTTCACTTCCTAAACTGTCTTCAGCTCAGCCCACAAATTCTTGTACTCTAACCTCGCTGATCTCTCCCCCATCTCACTGGGGGGAGCAGGCGAGCACTGGGTGGTGTTGAGCAGCTGCCTGGGGTTAAATCACAGCAGCCAGTGAACAGAACTGCAGCTTACGGCAGCACCTCATTCCTCCAGCACCGTAATTCTTACTGGTCACCCGTTATGAAAAATACCACATGTAGCCAAGAAATCTTTGCAAAACCCATGTTAAATTCTGAGAAAATACTGTACTTACTTTCAGGATGAAAAAACAATTCTAAGGCTTAAATTTCTTTCAAAACAGAATTACCTTTAAGTTCAACAGATGCTCACAGGCAGCATGACAAATGCCAATCCCTTCTTCGGCACTGGTACCTCTGCCAAGCTCATCAATAATGATGAGTGACTTATCATTAGCATTTTGTATGATGTACGTTATCTAGAAAAATATTCAAAGTGTTATAATTCCTATGAATGTGTATTCTTGAAAAGGGTTTTTTTTGTTATTCAGATGAAACATAATGAAGAACTTTTAAAAAAATCTCGAGATACAGCAATTTTACCTTCTCAAAGCTTTCAAACAGTTGTCAATTCTAATCAAGCAAAGACTCACACTACAGCACCCTTCCAGTCAAAGTATCACTTACCCTCAGAACGGTATCAGTTTGTGAGAGGAAACAGAGAGCTACAAATGATCATTTAAAGTCTAAGCAAACCCAAAAATGCTGGAAGTACTATCCAACAAAGCACTGATTTTTACTCACACTGGAATATCTTTCTATTGAAGAGATGCCTGGTTTCCTATAAAACAGATGAAGGCTGAATTTTTTACTGTTTTTCAAAGTACACTCATTCAGTGGAAATAAACTAATAGAGATTGTACTAGTGTAACAGTAAAAAAGGGCCTTGGACCTGGATAACTACATTTCATACCTCTTTCATTTCCTTCATGAATGTTGATGCATTTGTTTCAATGTCATCATCCATACCTATCCTGGTAAAAATCTGCTCTGCAATTCGAAAAGAACAATACTCTGCTGGGACATAAGAACCTACAAAGCAAGTAAAATACAAGTTTCTCTGATCACTATGACACTTGCCTGAATAGGTCACTGGGAAAATAAATGACTTTTACACTTGGTTTCATGCACAGCAGAGAATGCATCTTACTTGAGAAAGTCTTTAAGATTACGTTCTAGCATTAATTCGTAAGAAAAAATGGTCTTATATAGGTAGGATAATTAAAGAAGCTTATCACTGAAACTTCTAAGAAATCATATGCCTGAAGCTGTTTGTGAGTCTATAGGGAATGCAGAAAAAACAATGAACTCTAGGATTTTTACATTTCTGTGGCCACTGATTTACTAATCCCAAAAAATGTTAAGTTTCCCACAATGAAGATCATATTGCCTTTATCAGACTTCAAAGCATAGTAGTTTTACTCAACAGGAAAGAACAGAAACCTTTTGCCAAAACTTCAGTCTGCTTTATTCATATTAAACTCATGTAACTCATGTCTTTGAGAGCAATTCCTCAATAACTTGCAGTTACTGGGGACTGAAACCACAAATGCATGATGGATACATTTTATTCTCCACTGCTAAGCAGCTTCATTCTATAGAGTTAGGTCTTCGACTTGTACTACCAGACTTATTTTTAAGAAAAAAATCATGACAAATTCCTGAGTATAGGAATGAGTTTGTTGGACTTCACAAATAGTTGGTTTCCTTTCATAACTTTAGTAACAGAACCTTGCAGTATTTGTTACTACTTTTATTTGAAGTAGTTGATTATTTATCTAGTAATTGTACTTGTCTGGAAACATGTTTCTCTCTGTAATTTCGCCGTGCTCAAGGTCACGTGTTTCTTTTGGATGACTAACAACACACGTGTCTGACCAGCACCCTGACACTGCTAAGGACACTCACTGTCCATCTAGCCTAAGCTGCTAGACTGGGTTATGGTGCTCCAAAGAACTGGGGAATGCAACTCTGCTTCTCTGAAGATAGACTGGGGAGGCTTCAGGATATACAGATGGGGCCTCTGAAGTTTCCAGTGGCAGATGAAAACCCTTACAGTTGCCTCTGTCAGCAACACAAGAGGTGGCAAATTACCTGTTAATATTTTATTTAGATATAATGTTATTCTGGAAGCTAAGTCATTCAACTTTATAAATATTTTTAACCAGAAAAAAAAATGTGCTGCAGAAGATGATTCATATTCTACATTCTTACTCACCAATCTGTGCCATAATTTGACAGAGAGCAATCTGTTTCAAGTATGTTGATTTTCCACTCATGTTTGGTCCTGTAATAATGACGAAATTGTTGCCCTCTGTCAGGTACGTGTTGTTAGACACAGGTTTTTCCATAGCTATCTTTTCAAGAATGGGATGCCATCCCTGCTTGATTGCTAAAGTATCAGTAAATTCTGGACGAACTAAATGAGAAAAAAAGATGTAAAACACTGAGGAGTTAGTGTGGGAACCTTCACATTATTAAACTAGTATGTCTTGAAATAAAGTTAATTCCTCCAGAGCAGAGCTCTTGGGAAGAATTACCGGCCACTTTCAGGTACAGATTCTGATTACCATGCAAGCTTTCATCATGTATGACTACAAAAAGAAACCCAGAACTAAAACGAATGTACCATGCCTACAAAGATCCGTTGGATGCTGGAGCTGTCTCCATGGATTTCTGTCAGAATACAGTTATTTTCTGAACCGATTACACATGGCTCATCTTTACGTACCAGCATTAATGGAACAGAAACAAGTGTCAACACAATGTCCACACACTTCATGCTTTTGAACAGAAAACCCTTAAACTGTCTATTTTGAGAAGAGTGACTGGGAAGGCTTATGGCAGCTAACCAGCAGAACTGAATTTTGATGAACGGAAGCACAAAGAACATCAGCATAAAACTGCCAAAGACAGACCAGAGACACTCACTGACAGACTACTGAGAAACAGAAAAAGAAATGGAAGCAGACAAAACAGCCTGACTATCCTCCATCAGAAGGGTCTTTCTCTGGCCCATCACAGAATCAAAGAAGAAACAAACTTACCATAATCGGAAAGAGTGCAGACATGGGCAAATGAAAGCAGCATATCCAGCATAGACACAATGTCGGACAGCTTGTACAGGCAATGAATGTGTTCATAGATCTCATTCAGTAGTTTACACACTATTCTGAAATAAGACACGGCTTTAGTTGTTGCACGGCACATCCTGTCACTTTATACAACTTACAGAAATACAGCAACTATCATGTTCAGACTGCATACACTAGGACAAAAGGTCACTCAGAAAATCAGGTCTACCAGATGCAAACAATGTATCCATTTCTTGGAATAAATTAAGATCTTGTACCATCATCTCAGCTAAAATTCTGCTATCAGACACAAGACACATACCTCAGATACCAACAGCTCATATGAAAGCTTCACATGGAGAAGGAGCTCAAAATACAGCTATCAAATCAAGTATGTTTCATTAACCTCTGAAACGTTCCTCTAATTCCCTCATTTAACCTTCACGTTAAAAAACCCTACATGGTTGCTAAAAAGAACGTCCATTCAACTGACAGATAACATGACATTTACTAAGCTGTGAATCAGAGAGGAGAGCAACATGACAGGCAGCAAGGACAAGACAGGACAACTGGAGAAAATAAGCATATTTAGGAAATATTAAATAGTTTTAATAGGTCTTACAAGTAGGTAATGTGATATATTTCTCTCAGAGACTCCTGACATCTTTCATTCATTTTTATTAAATCTGCTGAAGTGAAGCTGTATGTGTTTTTAATTTTCGTGATCTATGGGGAATTGAAACCAACAATAAGAGCTTGCCTTATTATCAGTGGGAAAAACAGCTTCTAGAAACCCAATTGGGAACCATATGGGGAAACAAAAGAGAAAAAACAATGTCTAGTTTCATTTTTACTATATAGTTTTTTATGAAAATTCCATTTAAGATAACAATTAGCACAACATACAACTTTATTCTTAGACAAAACATAATTGCAGGTACGTGCACATTTTTTGATTATATAACTGAATATAGAGTAGTTATAAAAGCATCCCACTTAAAACTTCTTTTATTTCTAAATATCTTCACTGAAATTATTTTTGTTCTTGTTTACTGTGTAATGGGTGCTTTATTAATGTATTATATATCATAAAGTATACAAATACATTATGCTAAAATATAGTTTGTATAGATACCTTTGTAAATTCTGAAGGAAGCTGGCCATTAGGCAACGTTGAACCATCAGCATTCATTTGGATAAAAAATCCACGAGCAGAGCTGAAACTCGTTTTCATTGGCAGGCTGTACTTTCCTGCAAGCTGTGTTATCATACCTACGTAGCACATACAAAGATTTCACCCAGATTACAGATGTTCACGTACTCCTCCTCTCCCCCTACTTGTGCAGCTACAAAGATGGAAACTGCTAATGGAAGCTTGCAGAAATACAGACCAGTACCATCTGTATTTTTCACTATGTACAAATGTAGGATTAGAATAAAACAGGAACTTCATCACAAAGGACAGGTGCTAAAATTCCTGATGCTCTTTAGGTTTCCATCTATGGACTAAACTAAGATGGTCCTTTAACTAGAAATCAACAATTTATACTAGAAAAGGTAATCAGTTTCAGAAGAAATTTTTTTCTCCTATTTTGACATAAACAGGAAGGTTACAGAAACACAGTAATGCACATCATGCTAAAACTCCTTTTGTTCATATTTTTCAACTCTTATCAGCTTAGCTAAAAGGCTGTCCACAGATAGATCAAGACTGCTTAAAATATAAAGAACAAAGAACACGCATATTTTAAATGAGGAAGCTAAAACAAAGATTTACATGTTCCATGCAGAATGTTTAAGGTGGAGTAATTCTGTTCCATTACTTCAACTTTTTTTGCACTCTAAGAGGACAAGGACTAACAGAGTTTGGAATACAGGAATCACCATGCAATTATTCAATTTTATTAAAATAAAACTGAGTTTTTCTCCAGAAATGGAGAATCTCATTTGTTTATCAATGATTATCAATTCATACCAACACTAAATACTTTTTACAGAAGAGAAGGTTATAAAACATATAATTACATTATAGTTACATGGTTTCTATGCGTCAAGTGCAATGCACTTTTAACTCCAAATAAACATAAATTTTACTTTAGAAATACCTGCTATGTCATCAACAATTTCCGTGTATGTTCTACGAGCTATGTCAAGGAATTCATTGATGTTAGGCTTAACAGCGTAGCACTTCTGGGTCCTCATACTCAGACATCCTTTTGTGTATCTTGTATCATCATTAATTACACTTGTAATCTTTTCAAGTATCATTCCAAATCTGCAATATCAGTTGTATCACCAATTAGATACACAATACTTTAGGATTTTTACTTGCAGTATGATCTCCAAATTACAAGTAGCAGTCTTACAAATACTTTTAAACTTTCTACTGTTAAAACAAAACACTACATTTCACTTCTATTTTCACCTCCAAATGAACCGTGACTATACCAAAGTCTGACTAAAAATACTTGGGGAGATATAAATTATTTCTCAAATATACATTTTTTTTCAAATACACAACACTTGATTTTTCCACTATTATGGAAACTCTAGGAAACCACTACTCTTGTCTTTTCAGAATTATTTCTAAGGAGTTCAGTTCAGCAGCAACTCCGCTATCACAGCTAGCTCTCTTGCTTTTATCCCTGGATTCATTCGTTGAAAATTACATTTGCTGACAATTAAAATCAGCTTTAATAAAAAGAATTGAGCTATACCCACAACTATAAACACGCAAAGATGCAACATCTTTTATCTTACAGGCACTTTTGAGGTGAGAGTTTCTAACACAGTAGCTAAGTATTATGATAAATACCTTGTATCTTCAAGAGAATTATAATAAGCCTTCAGCAGCTGTGTGGTACAGCCTCTTAAAGCAGCCTGGTGAAGATAAAAATATGGACATGACAGTTACTGCTTTTTAAAGGACTGCAAGTTTTCAGATTCAGCGAGGCCAAGCAGCAGTTGTAGAAATAGCCTGCGGAATCTGAGCAGGAGTTTCTGATCGGAGTTTGTTACATAATCAATTATTCAGGTAACGTAGGAACCCTGCTCTTCACAGCACAGACACAAAAGTGAATTTCCCATCGCTGCTAAGAATCAATGCACTGTGCTGGCACTGCTGTGCTCTGCAATCATATTCTGTTTTACTTCATCTACCCCTTCCAACTTGAGATATCCTATGGAATTTAAGAAACTGCACTTCATAAAAGTAAGGACAAAATTATCTGTACTTTATTTAAAAAATAGAAAAAAAGAAGAATTAAGACTGCTTACTTTCAGAGGTTCCACAAGTTCTAAGGTATGCTTCAGGTAGATTAAATTAGTTATTTTTGATTCAGCAGTTTTAACCTGTTGAAAAATTTTCCAAATATTGAACGTATTTGTATGACTGCTCTAAAAAGTAGTAAGAACTAGTAGAACTCATATTCTTAACAGTAACAGGCTTATATATTTAACAAAAAGTCCTGAAACGCTTTGTAAGCTCACTTTGACACCTTTGTGTCCACATAAAAAATGTTTACCTAGATTTTACACTGCCTGCTGTGATCATTTGTCCATCAGTTGTTAGACTTTCCTATGTTTGAGCTGGTGACTGACTCTAAGAACACTTTGCTAGCCCGAGCTCTGAAAACTTCTCATCTGCTATGTATACTTAACGCTACACAAGCTCTACACCACTTGTAGACTTTTTCAAAGGAAATACATGATGCGTTATATAATGAAGCACATCACCTTTTACGTTAATGCTGTTAAACACAACATAACCCAGTTTGGTCGACTGCTCTTTCGTTAATACACAGTGTACATCCTTAAACATCTGGGCATATGGTAATAAAAAAACCAGTAAATATTTCAAAGTTTTTCTCACAATTATGACTGTTCTAAAGTCTTTCATTCACAGAAATCCTTGACCTTGTTTTGTATGCCCCATTAACACTCAGGATAAAGAATTCTGCTGCTGACATTAGGGCATAGCACATGCAGTACACATGCACTGTGTAAGAGGGCTTTAAGGAAATAGCACAGATAAACATAAATATAAGCACATGCCCCCATGTGAAATCTCTTCTCATTCATATATATAATATCTTTTTACTCTTGTGACTGAGGGTATCTTACCTTACAGTCACATAAAGTTTTTTTGTAAAAGATAGAACTAAACAGTGCTAAATGCATGAATGGAAGAATGCTAATCTGAATAAATATGGGGTCCAAGACCCACGAAGGAATTAGAAATCAAAAGAACTGATGTGGTCACACATGAAAAAGTGGTAGTGGAATGGATCATTGACTAATTAGTTCTTACAGGAATTTTAACTTAACTAGTGTTAAAAGTGAATCTCTGCACATGATAAACTTAAGCCCAAAGGCAGTAAATGATTTCACCATTGACATGATTTTTCAAGTACCATATTGCAAGGTAGCACAGTTTTTGAAGTCTAAGGCTTTTGTCCTTTGGAGTCCCCTTGAAGTGCCAGATGTTATTTACATAATGAATATGAATGTTTTTTTTAAAAAAGACACTTAGCCCCTCCCGGAAACTCATGCTTTTTCCTAATTACTTTGTAACTGCATGGCATAACTTGGAGAGAGCGCGGTTATTAAAAATATATTGACATTTCCAAACTATTTTTTAAAGTACTGGACTTGTCTGCCTGGGGAGGTGGTGGAGTCACCATCCCTGGATATATTAAAAAAAATACTGGACGCGGCACTCGATGCCATGGTTTAGTTGAGGTGTTAGGGCATGGCTTGGACTATGATCTTGAAGGTCTCTTCTCACCCAGTGATTCTGTGTGATTAACACCTTTGTCAGGATGAGAGAATGCTCATGTTGAACATACCAATTTCACATTTAGTAACTGAAACTCTAGGCTTCTCGGATGTGCATCTCATCTGCTAACTGGTGGAAGGTGTACAATGAAAATTTTTATGGAGAGTGGGAATGAAACGCACTCAATAGCCTAATCTAGCATTTGATAAAAAGCAACTGAGCTAGCACTTGAATAAGGATGTCTTTTGCACGAATAGTAAGCTCTGCTCTACTGGAACCAGTCAATGCTGAAAACACTGCAGTAAAAACGTTTGGTGTACCTCGTCCTACGCCTGCATAAAAGCATCCTGTGTGACACCTGTAGTCACACAAATGAACTCATCAGTTCATGTTACACATTTCTACAAGGAAAGCTGGAAGCAATAATCGTGCTGGGTTTTGATTATGGCATTAAAGAGATTTATCTGCATTTATTACTGTCCTCTTTGAGTCTGCACCTGATTTCTTTAACTACAATTAGACAAATCCTTCATCTAAGCAGGTAAATCAGCACGTGAGAAGACACAGAGATGAAAAAGTTGTATCTAAGATGCTGGAACACAAACATAAACGTAAGGAATCATCAACCTCAAAAGCAATGGCAGAAATATCCAACTTTAGTACAGTAGGCAAATGTAACTTTTAACCATGGTTTCAAAATGCTTAGTGGAAACAAAGTGGAGGTTCAGGAACCTCGAGTTCACTGGAGTTAATTCTTGGGTCTGGTCTCAACCAACATTCACTGGTGAACTACAGGTATTTATTCCATTTTTATATTTGTTATACATGTGTGAACATACAGACTGTTATTTGAGGCAAGGTCTGATGAAAAAACAATCTTGCTTTAAGACATAACAGTCACTAGGACTGTAAGTCACTAAACACTTTCCTTTTATGCTGATGTGAAGAAAATTCCTCTCATCTGACTACTGCTGAATAACATGTACACTTATGAAGAATAAAGGTGGGGAGAGATGAAAGAGTAAACATTTTTGGAAGTGCATTTGCATAAACTAAGATGAATTATAGATATCACATTTATATATTGCATGTTATAGACAAATAATTCATTTTCCAAGATGTATTTTGACACATACCGTATCCTGCTTTGGAATCTGTACCAAAACTGAAAGTAGTTGTTCTGTATCCAGGAATTTTGAGATAACTGTAAAATGAAAGTATTCACATCAGAAATGAAACTGAAACTATAAGATGTATTTTCTCTGAAAGCACACAGTTACTTAACTATATTAATGCTATTATTTTTCTTACATTCTATTGTCACAAATTATTGACAGGGTAAAAACTAGCTTAAAAATAGCTAATAGCTGACTCATTTTGTCATAACTATACCTATGACTTAGTACACCTAAACATGCAGTGATTATTGTATGGGCAGACTTCTGTCAATTCAGCAATACTTTTTCTCTTAGACTGAGTCGTATTTCTCTTGTGACACAGATAAAGATTATACATTCCAATTTCAGGTGGACTAATTCTAGTACTGTACTCTATCCTTCTCTGGACCATATGTTTTATGAACCGACAGGAAAAAAATATTTATACGCAAGTGTTTGCTTTTTCATGGCTGCATTACAGATACTTGTATACATCAAACATAATGCATACACAGCCAGGCAGTAAAGAGACAAACTCCAACTCTTTCAAAAAGCTGTTGGCTCACAGACTTCTACACACTTGATCAGAGAAATTCCACTTTTCTAAGCAAAATACTCGAGAAAAGTAGCACTATGATAATATAGATTACTTCTAAAAATTAAGTGTTCACTAAATCACCTAACAAACCTTTAAAGAATACTTTTCACACATACTGAGTCACACTACATACCTTCCTATATTGGAAAAAAATGCTTAAAAATAATAGAGTATAAGGTATTACAAAATAAACTGCTACCTGCTTGAAGACCAAAAAAGAGCTCCTCATCCTGGAGTAATTCCTCAACACAGTCCAATCTTGTGTTAATTGTTTCAGCATCAACTAGAGGTTCCAGGATATTGGACCTAAGTCTTCGACTTCCACCGGGAGTTTTAGTGTAATTTAAAACACCAAGAAGTGTATGACCAGTCCTTTGAAAATAAAATAGACATGAAGAACACACGCACCAGAAACAGAGATGGCAAGTGTCAGGAGACATTTACAGGCAAGAGTCTCCTACAAATCTGAGGCATGCTTTGGCATGCTTAGCATGTCCCTTTTTTCTACGTTTATTATATCAACTCCAGCAGTTTAGGATGCTAGGAAATTCAATGTGATTTAATATAATATTAGCCCTCAATTATATCAGTATAGAAATACATTTGTATTCAGCATTTTATTCATATTTTGTAGTAGTATTCCATTGCTACTGCAGTGGTAAAGTTTACATTTTCTCTCTCTCTTTAATTAGTTTAATTAAATTAATTAAAAATTAACAAACCAACCCTACACAAGGAGGCAAATTATCAAATTACAATCAGAGATCAAATACTAATCAGAACAATTTATCTGAAATACATTTCTGAAAATAATTTAAAATATACTTAGAAATCAAAAAGAGAAATAATTTTTGATTTTATTATTTTAAAGAATTTATTTAAGTCTATACAGGAGCTAAATAACATGCTTATAATTTGTAAGTATTAGTTTCACCTTCATGGCTTTGACATGTTACGCATCCCAAGGTTTCACACTTAAGGGTGGTTGCATCTCTGTAAAATAGGCCATTTCTAATATTTACACCTACTACACAATTAAACAGTTTTAGAAACCCAAAATCTTCTATGCTACTGGCTGGAAGAAGACCCATGAAACACCAGGGCCATAATAACATCTTGATTTAAAAAAAGAACTTGAATAGAAAGAAACCTGATACAAGTACACAGAACAAACATCATGAAGACAGGTGGGAAGAGTGAAGAGAAATATCCTGAAATACCATAAAAAAGCAAGAGTCAAGAGAATTAAAAAAAAAAAAAAAAAAAAAAGGGGGGGGAGAAAACTCAAACCCAGTTGTATCAAGGGTGCATTTACCATATGATGCAACCTGTGACAACACTTAAGTGGAACTCGACATTTGGGAGAGTATCCACAGTGCCTA